TTATATATTGTAACCCTTAATTAGGTTCCTTTTAAGTGCATGCTACGGTCAACTGATTGCATATTTTAAAAACGGTAACCCTTAGCAACTGGTCAAATTTTGTGATTTTTATGAACACTTTAGATTCCTATTTTTTATACGAAAATTGATTTTAAATGAAATTTGAAATGAATGAAATTTATAATATACTTAAGCTATAAACCGGTTTTTTATCGTTTGGGCAGCCGTTTACGCTCAAAAATTTTGAGATAAAGTCGTTATAAGATAGAATAAACCGAAAGCTTTCCTTTTGACCCGGGGTTCTCGATTCGATTTTCAGCCGTTTTTAAGTTATGGCCCTTAAGCGGTTTTTAAACCATTTTTTCAAAGTCCATAAAACCCTAAGATTTATGTACCAATGGAAAAATCTCTGCGAGTAGATACAGAAAATGCATTATTATATGGTTCTGTCTCTTACCGTTTCTGAGATAGGAGTGTTTGAATATGGCAGACAAAATTACTCATGCGTATAAATACGTATAACTTTTTGTTACTGGACATAACATAGGCATGTTGCATATAAAACGAAAGGTCTTGACAAATGCTACAAGCTCGTATTGTCAAACCGAGAGTGAAATCACTCATGCGTAAAAAACATTAAAATAACTAAAATAAGCTTACCCCAGTCTTTACTCCTCGCCTATCAAACTATGTATGACAAGTTACGATAGGTTTAAACCGGTATTGCTATTTTTGATCAGCCAATGAAATTGTAAAACGATGACGTCTTAAAATAGACAGCCTCGTTTTGAACCCACTCTTTTTCATTAACCAATGAAAAGTGGAGAAGGATGGCTGGATAAATTTTGACATAAAAACGCCTTTTTGTCTTTTATGCAACACTTTACGATATCGATTTTCAAGATATTTGTTTCATTTGATAGACCTAACCAAATGCTTCAAAATAAACCCTAGGTTCTCGATTCGATTTTAAGCCTTCTCGAGTTATGGCCCTTTAGCGATTTTTAAAACCAATTTTTCAAAGTCCATAAAACCCTGAAATGTATATACCGTTTGAAAGATCTCTGCGAGAAGATACAGAAAATGTATTATTATATGGATCTATCTCTTACCGTTTCTGAGATAGGAGAGTTTGAATATGGCAGACAAAATCACTCATGCGGAAAAACGCGCATAACTTTTTCGTTTATGAACGAAACATAGTCTTGTTTGGTATCAAATTGAAGGTGTTGGCGAGTATATTTTACTTACGCGATTAAACCGGATGTTAAAAAACTCGTGCGTGAAATTCATTTATTTTCCCCAACCAACGGACTGATCTTATCAATACCTGTATCGAACGAAAGGTATTACTCACTAAATTTAAGAAAATGTATAATTGTGTATCGCTGACTCGGATAGGGCACGAGATATGAAGTAAAATCACTCAAGCGTAAAATGTGGATTGACGCCTTCCTTAGTCAATATAACCCGGTCATGTTTGGTATCGTACGAAATGTTTTAAGGCGCTCTTTATGAATATGGACTAAAAATCACTATTGCATAAACGCTCTATTTCTATTAAACATTCTTCATTGAAAATACTGTACTTGAAATATAAACTCAACTTACTGCGTAATGATGTTTACTCTTTGACGTCCAATCACCAAATGACTGAAGTCACCACTGCGCATGCGCTGATCTAAATTTAGAAATGACATTGTCCAATCTAACAGCAGTTACTCTTTTCTTACGGACTGAATGTAACCAATCAGACAAAATAATTATTTGACCAATGATTTTGGTCACGTGACTATTAATAACATAAATAGATGAATAACGTCATGCCAAAAATAGCAGCCAATCAGATTTTAATACGTGTGTATAAAAAATAATATGTTTTTCTGCGTATATTTTATCACTGGAAACAGGATCTGTCTTCTATTTATCTTTTGCTCCACCACCACCGCCGCCACCGCCTCCGCCACCACCTCCCACGCCACCCGCCACCACCACCGCCACCACCACCACCAACCCCCTCCACCACCACCACCCACCGCCACCACCTCCCACGCCACCACCACCGCCGCCACCACCTCCTCCTACGCCACCACCACCACCGCCACCACCACCACCGCCGCCACCACTACCATCACCACCACCAGGTGGCGATGGAACCATCACCACCACCACGTGGCGATGGTTGTGGTTGCGGCGGTACAAAACTTAATAAATATTCTGTTTAGTATTTCATGTGCATAAAAATAGTTCTCTGCTTTTGATCAGATAGACAGCAAGTCTAGGTAACAGCTATTGACAGCATGTATACACAGATTTTAGAGCTGTCATTGATTCAGTACAATGCATAAAAGAAGACATTAATCTACGTCAGCTTACATATATTTAATAATCACATCCTATGACTCAAAATACCTTCCCAATGGAGGTAAACAGAGATGCTAGAATACACGAATTATTTATTATCCCTCGCCGAAAGGCGGCGGGGGATACAGAAAAAGTCTCCGTCCGTCCGTCCGTTCGTCCTTCCGTCCGTCCGTCCGTCCGTCCTTCCGTCCGTCCGTCCTTCCGTCCGACATTTTTGTCCGGAGCATATCCCAAAAAGTATTTGAAGTATCAACTTGAAACTTCATAGGTGGATAGATCATATTGAGGAAAAGTGCAGTGCACAAGAATGATAACTTTACCCTGCATATTTTTTCAGTAGTTATTGCCCTTTGTTATTTTTCAAACTCAATTTTTGTCCAGAGCATAACTCAAAAAACTTATGAGATATCAACATGAAAATTCATAGGTGGATAGATCTCACTCAGGAGGTGTGCAATGCAAAAGAATGATAACTCTACCCTTCATAATTTTTGAGTTATTACCCTTTGTTATTTTTCATACTTAATTTTTTCACCCGAGTGGAGCATAACTCAGAGTCTTTGATTTGTCAACATGAAACTTCATAGGTGGATAGATCTTATTGAGGAGGAATGCTGTGCACAAGAACGATAACTCTTCCCATTATAAATTTTGAGTTATTGCCCTTTGTTATTTTTCATTCTTTTTGTCCGGAGCTTATCTCAAAAAGTGTTAGAGATATCAACTTGAAACTTCATAGGTGGATAAATCTCATTGAGGAGGAGTGCAGCACACGAGAATGATAACCTGATTACCCTGAATTATTTTTCAGTTATTGCCCTTTGTTATTTTCAGCCATCAGTATTCACATAGGTTTCAAATCTGTAATCACTTCAGCCATCAGTTTTTATTACCAAAAGAGCTCTTAAAATTGAATTATTCTGCTCTACTACATATTCTTCCAATGAGCAAACACATTCGGCGAGGGATGGCCATGTTGACATGGCTCTTGTTTCAACATTAAAATGGGACAAATTCACAAGTTTTTGGTTATACAACGGAATTATCGATATTAAACTTTGAATTGTTCCGTGGTTATACACTTGGTCAAACATATGGGTTTTTCTACAACCCAACATAGTCCTTAGCTTAATTACTGCCCAGCTCTCGTAATTTATTCGTGTTGCCAAAAGTGACTTCTATGTATCGAATTCTAGTATTATTTGCTGAATGTAAAAGATTTGAGAACGAGTACTATCGTGTATTGGTTAAGGGTATATCGTTTGAAGGCACACAAACCCTATCATCGACTACAAACTGTTGTGTGTGTCATTATATATGGGAAACATTCCCTTATGTTAATTCACCAACTTGAGTTTTTGCATATTATTATGCTCATTATCAGTATAAACGTTGTTACATTATATCTTAACCAATTTTGCATTACTTGAATATCCTGTACTAGAATACGTTTTAACAAAATCAGAGGATGTTCAAAGTCAACTGTAATGCAGTTGATGTATGTGAAATTTATAACAGTTTCTATATACATGTAATTTGAAATATTTTTTGTACCAGAAAGAGTTACCTCTCTTTATATTCTGCTTTCGTGACTCTTAATATTCGTCTATTTCCGTGATAATTCCATATATGGCTGGGTTTTTGGCATAGCTATCTCGTCGCAAAGACTTAGTAACTCGTGGCCACGACATAGTATCTCGTCGCCGCGACTTAGTAACTCGTGGCCACGACAAAGTATCTCGTGGCCACGACTTAGCTATCTCGTGGCCACGACTTAGCTATCTCGTCGCCACGACTTAGAAACTCGTAGCCATGACATAGTATCTTGTCGTCACGACTTAGTAACTCGTGGCCACGACATAGTATCTCGTTCCCACGACTTAGTAACTCGTGGCCACGACATAGTATCTCGTGGCCATGAGATAAATAAAAATTCACACAATCATGTCACATTTGTGCCACCGGAGGTATACTATATTATCTAACTATTAAATTAAATGGAAAAAAGTGATGATGAATTAGTTTTGTGCTTAGTGCGTAGTATAAGTTGTATAAGTACGCTGCACAAGTATTTCGTGCCAACTAATCTAATGTTCATGCAATGTGTGTCCATATATACATTCCGTGGAGTCGCAAAAACTTTTAATTTAAAGGGAGGAAAGAAGGAAGGAAGACAGGAAAGAAAGAAAGAAAGAAAGAAAGAAAGAAAGAAAGAAAGAAAGAAAGAAGGAATAAAAGACCTGTAATACAGGCATATTGTGAATTTCAATATAAAATTAAATGTTACGAAAAAAAAATGTTTTAACAAAAATGAGAAATAAGATAATTTAAAAAAAAGATAAGAAAAATGCATAAAATATAAAACACTTTTATAAATCTCGCAAGAAAATACAAAATGCAAGAACAAATATTTACTTTTCATGTATACTGCATTAAACACATACTATCTTTATCCACTGCGCTATATCTATATGATTCATGCATCGATATCTGTACTTGACATTTTTAACTTGAACAACAAACACCTTCAACATATATTATCATTTCACTTATCAAACAATGCTACTGATGTGATACAAATGAAGTTTATGTTGTGTTTCACTGCTCATTCTTTTCTTTTACTTTTTGTGTTGTAGTTGTAAAAATGGCTTCAAATCATCCGGAAATGACAAATTCAAAATTTCACAACTGGATAAAATCTGGACTTGCTATAAAATACACAAAGGAAGGTTTACAAGATGCTGTCATACAGGAAATGCAAAGTTTTCATAACCAGTGTTATAATGGTGTATTGACGAGAAAGGGACTTCCTGTAGGAACGATATGCAATTTATGTACCACCGAAAGCATCATGATTTGTGGTACCAATAACACAATATGTAAAAGAATTGGACAGAAATGTCTATCCAAACATCGACCGTGTTCCTTAGGAATATGTGAAGATCAGAGGGACAATATAATAAAAGCTCACAGATATTCAGAACCATCTTTCAAGAATAGCGATGCTCAGAAATGGTGTGTTAACTACTTTGAAGTAATGAAATGCTTTTTGCCACGAGATGGATACACAGATAAATCGACGGTTGACGAGATAGATTTCAATGGAATCATTAGTGTAGTGATTTCCTTTAAATACTTCCAAAACAAAATCGCAGAAAATCTTAACACGAAAAACAACATATTCAAACAGGTAATTCCATACACTAATGTACGCTTTATGTTATCATATCTGGTTTATAGCAGGTAAATAAAATGTTCATGCTCTCCGGAATACTGCTTTAATTATCATCTTCTTAAGTGCAATCTTATCTACATCTGTTATGCAACCAATATTTATGCTTTAATTATTGACTTATCCAACTGTATCAACAAAAATGATTAAATTGATTTTAATGAGTAAAAGATTTGTAACAAGCAAACAGGTATTATTAATGGATGATCTCTTAGACAACTAAGAAATGTGTGCTGCAAGTGAGGCCATGTACGAACCAAAATGGATGTCCACAAAGTTATTCGTTAATATTTCACAGGCACATGTGACATGATTTAGATTTTCGATCTTACATCCATTTTTACATTTAAACAGGCAAGAGAAATTGGTAGAATGTTTCGTCATACGTCAAACTGTGAACTGAGTGACACAGATTTTGAAAGTCATATTGATGTATTGTCTGCTGTTTTGAAAGACCCAAAGTATTTTGCTGCTTTTCAACAGTCAAAAGATGCGGTTTGCAAGCTGGAAGAGGTTTGTTTATAATAATCATTACATATGATATAAAATGTACGTTCAAGTAAATACTATAAGTATGGAGAACAATTACCATTATACTCATTTGTACATGTATGAATAATTTACTCATTTATTACTGGTTTATTTTCGATTTGCATATCATAATTATTCTTTTCATGTTTATCTGTGCGTGGTATCAATTTTACTTTTTAGGTGTGTATTTTTTACCTGTAATCCATATTCAAACTGAGTACACTTTTCCTTAATACTTAGCTCACATACATGTTTAACTTATCATTCAAACCATAAAAAAGTATAAAAAAATGATATTATAACATGTTCAAATTGTACATTTATCAGATATTTCCCTGATTGTCTTCTGCTTGTCAGTGACCTGTATTTTGGGAGTTACCTAGTACATCCTGATAGCCGGGTTATTTATTTTATATTGACTATTAAAAATAAGAAATTATATATATATGAAACTACAATTCACAGCTTTTTGGCATGTAGTCATGTCTAGAGGGACTTCTACAAAAAAAAGTCATATAAATAATTTGCGAATGGTCCCGCCTCAGTGTCACTTAGTTAACATAGACTTATATAGTAAACTTCTTCTCCAAATGTACAATGGTCAGAACTTATATATTTTGAATACAGCTTCACCTTGTAGTCCTCTACAAAAGTTATATTAGTTATGCCCCTTGGTATAAGCATGACACTGCATGACTTAGTTAATAGTCTTGTAGAGCTTAGATATTTGGTACATTTAACATTGCGTATAATGTCCTTAGGGTATTAATAGCCCTACCCCTTGGGCCACTTCATTTAGATAGGCTTACACGTTAAAACTCACTTAATAGTGCTGCAAATCAGCTTATTTTACTAGCCTATTTAGAGGGGTAGGTTGTCTATGTCAGCCAACAGCAAGTTTCATATACCAAAATGTTCGCCTGGATCTGTAGTTTCTGGAATGGATATTCATTTGACCCTACCCCGATGCGAAGCTAAGATATCCAAGATGGCGTCAACGATGGCCGCCAAATCCCTAAATATTCTAGTATATTTACGTTGGATAATGTCTTTTCTAAGTTTTGTAAATCAATTGAAATTTAACACAAAATTACTTATTTTTTAACTAACTCATGTTGTTAATTCTGACTTTATTGCATTTTTTTTTATAGTTTTCATCGCCTAATTTTAACTACAAAAGAAACTATATGTTGCAAACTGGGTGACCTTTTCTTAATATGTGTAACTTGTATTTTTTTGTTTTTTTTATGATTTCGTTTTATACACTTTAAAAATGTATGTACACATCATTAAAACATGTGAACTGTGCCATAAATGTATTTTATTGATCAAAACTCATATACAAGGCAAGTGGGGTATTACGAACGGAGGTCAACAGTAACTTAAATACTTCTTTGTTTTATATTATAACGAAAAGTGATATTGAAAAGATTAACAATATTTTGAATTGGTTAGAGATGAGACATTTTCCCTTTCATAGATAATGCCCTGCACATGTGTCTAAATGTTGAAATATCTCTGTTCATTTTTATGCACAGAATAAGGAACTAATTTACTGACCTGCAATTTGGTATGCGCGTTGACCTTGTGCTAGCCCCTGGTAAAGGATTTATTTGCAAGTTTGTTTCTCCTTAGCCATAAACATTTATTGTTGGACTTCAAATGATATTTTTGATTCAATGTTCAAGACCCATAACCTAAGAATTGATTTGGATATAATTATATCCCTTTATTTACTTAAAGAATTTCTCGGGACAAGATTTATCTCCACAACCATTGAGGTAATGCACTTGAAACAAAACACATCGCTTTAGATCATTATTGTAGGTTTCTTCCCTCTAACATGTTTTTATGCCACCGCAGCATCTGCGATGCGGTGGCATATAGCGATTCACCTGTGTGTGTGTGTGTGTGTTTGTTTGTGTGTGTGTGTGTTATATAGATTATATAGTGAACTTAAAAAATCTTCTTGTGAAAAACCACTAGTCCAATTTCAACCAAACTTGGCAGGGTTGATCCTTGGGTGAAGGGGTTCCAAAGTTGTTCAAAGAATTTCATTCCATGCAGAAATCTGGTTGCCATGGCAACCAAAAGAAATTATAAGAATAAATTAAAAAAATCTTCTTGTAAAGACCCAAAAGGCCTAGAGCTTAGATATTTTGCATAAGGCATTGTCTGGTAGACCTCTACCAAGATTGTTCAAACTTAAGCCCTTGGGTCAAAATCGGCCCCGCCCCGGGGGTCATTGATTTTCACTATATGTACATATAGTAAAAACTTAAAATACCTTCTTGTAAAGACCAAAAAGGCCTAGAGCTTAGATTTTTTGCATAAAGCATTGTCTGGTAGACCTCTACCAAGATTGTTCAAATTATAGCCCTGGGGTTCAAAATCGGCCCCGCCCCGGGTCATTGCTTTACACTATATGTACATATAGTAAAAAACTTAAAATACCTTCTTCCAAAGACCCAAAAGGTCTAGAGCTTAGGTATTTTGCAGAAGGCATTGTCTGGTAGACCTCTACCCAGACTATTCAAATTATAGCCCTGGGGTCAAAATCGGCCCCGCCGGGGGTCATTAGTTTTCCTTATATGTATCTTCAATATATACTTATAGTAAAAAATCTTATTGTCTTTATTAGAGCTTAAATATTTTAAATGATATCATCTATAGGAACTCTACCAAAGTTGTTCAAATTTTGCCTCTAGTGTCAAAATTAGCCCCGCCCAGGGGCCATAGGCTTTCCTTATATGTATATATATATACATATATATATATATATATATATATATATATATAGTAAAAAAATAAAAAAAATGTATTTTTATCTGAAGGTACAAGGCATAGAGCTTCGATGTTTGCTATATAATATCATCTATAGGTCCTCTTCCAAAGTTGTTCAAGTTATTCCCCTGGTGTCAAAATTGGCCCTGCCCGGGGGGCAGTGATTCTCATTATGTACACATAGTAAAAACAGAAAATAAAACAAATGTTTTTCTGAATGGGAGAAAGCTACAGCTTAGATATTTGACTTGAAATGTTGTTCGGTGGACCTGTATCAAGATTGTTTTGAATGAAACCCTTGGGTCCAAAATTTTGCCTTGCCCAAGGGGACAGTGACCTACTTTCTTGTCCTTTGATGTACAGCAATGAAATTTTGACCATGTGCACAGTTTTAGTTGTAAAATTGAATTCTGATATCAGGTGACCTAGATTTTGATGATGTGACCTACTTTCTTGTCCTTTGATGTACAGCTATGAAATTGGAACCATGTGCACAGATTAAGACGTAAAGTGAACTTTGATTTCAGCTGACCTAGATTTTGACAAAGTGTCTTACTGTTCTTTGATGTAGTCGTGAAATTTAGGCTGTGTGAAATATGACCTTCACCACCAAATTCACTAGACTCAAGTGCATTGATATATTTCTACTCTGATCTTTTATTGAGTTAACAACAGATTTAACCACTAATCTGATAATAAGAATAAGATAGGTCAGGGATCTATGCATTATGACAATCTTCAAAATTGTAAAAAAAAAAGTCTGTTCCAACACTACTATTTAGTGTTGTATTAATGCGGTGGCATAGCATTTTTCTCAAATGCAATCTTGTTTTTTCCAAGAATTATACTACATGTACTTTATGAATAAGAGAGAAGGCTGTTGATTTTGAATATTCGAGCGTGCTGTACGACATGCAGCTCTTGTTTTAAGGCTTTGAATTAACGTATGATAATTTACAATTGAATCATATATGGAGTTTTGTCATAATTGATGACGTATATAATATATACATTAAAATGTAAAATGTACTTTGCTAGAACATTTGAAATGTGTAGGTAATTCATTTTACAGTAAGAGACTTGCCTGCTAGACTGGGTCTGAATTATGAATAAAATAGTTTATACATAGTGAGTGAATTGAAAATACACATGTATCTATTATAAGAGTTTCATTTTAGCTCGGCTATTCGACTTAGGAGAACTATCCTAGTACCCTGAGCGTTGGCGTCGGCGTAACCACTTACGTTAAAGTTTGCGTCACACCTCAAATACATGTATTTTCAAAGTCCATTGACATACAGTATGGCTTTGAAACTTGCACATTTGTTAACCATCATGTCCCAACCTGAACGCTGGGGTAGATAAATCTGTCAACATTTTATCAGAATTATGAGAATTATGCCCCCTTTTCAACTTTGAATTTACATTTAAGTTTGCGTACCACCTCAAATATTTTCAAAATTACCATTGACATCTGGATTTGAAACTGTACATGTGTACACTTGTTCACCATCATTCCCCCATTCTGTACACATGAATGAGTAACTCTATCAAGCATTTTAACAGAATTATGCCTCTTATTCGACTTGAAAAATTTACGTTAAAGCTTGCTACTTCAGATTATTTCAAAATTCCATCGACATATCGCTTTGAGACCTTGCACACTTTTCACCATCATAATCTAAACCTAAGCCCGATTCACAGTCCAACACTCTACCTATTGAGCTAACCCATCAGGATCATTGATTGCAAAACGTTTATAGTTGTTGACTGAATACTACATAGCTGGTACTAAGAGAGATGTCAGAGATGTTGCAAATTAAGGTATTAGGACCCTAATGGGCACTATCAGGAACTAAAAAATTGACATCATCAGTCAGATGTATACCTTAAAGTACACCTGTATGCAAAATTTAAACAAAGTTTACCGTACGGAAATCAAGTTATGGCCACTTTTCTGAACTCAAGCTAGGATGTTATGAGGGCCCTTTTTTAGAAAGTAGGAACCTTTAAATAATCTGCAATAACATTCTAATGAAAATGTTTTCCCATTAATTTTTGGTAAGAAACAAATAGTACCATTCAGCTAACAATCAAAATAAGCAAAATTCTGGTTTCTACTTAAAATTTATGAAATCTGTATAAAAATGTTACCCTACCCCACCCATTTTTACCACGTGTCTGACCATTTTTCTACT